TTGTTTTTTTGTTTCTCTTGTTTTTTTCTTTTTTCTCCCTTCCCAACAGTCTGGGTTTTGTGCACTGCCAGGAGACAAGAAGTTGAGGAGGGAGATAGATCTTCAATGACACAACTGCATCCGCTTAAAAGGAAGACAGGAAAGGTTATCAAGGAAGGCTTTCATGTACTCATTAGATATCGTTCTCAACTCAGAAAAAAAGTCACTTAAAGCCTTTTGCCATTAATTTGCTCCCTCAGCCACGCGGGAAAAAGATCATGTGCATGAGAACCCACGACCTGCTCACAAAATCATCGCTAGAAGATGCAGTTGGTCAGAAGAGTTTGTAAGAGTTTCCTCTACATCTAGATTTTTTTTTTCAATCTGCAAATCTGCAGAATTAGATCATATTTCTGAACCTGTATTTTCTTTACTGTGTATGACACTTCAGAATTTGAAGGAAGAGAGAAAACGATGAATAAATCCATCACGTTAACAGTCTATTTCTCAGGTCATGAAAAGTCACTGGTCTTTGGAAATAAAAAACCTATTCTCCAAATGTCATTTTTTTTTTAGGTTGGTTAAAAACGCCAAAGTTTGCCTCTTGCTTCATCTACTATTTAATGACTGCCTCTGGTCATGAAAAGCAACTTTTGACAGACCATCAGGTTATATTTCTGTCTCCATGGAGACACTTGGGATGGGAAGTGGCTGGGAAGACCTCTGCCACCCCCTCTGCATTATATTCACAAGCACAATCAAGGAAACTCAAATGAATCCACCCCAGGTAACTTGGAGAACTCACGAGCTAGAGCTTTAATTTTTGCTTTTACTCCCTGGAATTCGGACTTGCCCTGAAGCTCTTGTTTGAGAGATTTGCGGGTGACCCAGGGTTAGATCTTCCCGTATCAGTTAACAAATTTTCTCTTTACATACATACTGCTTTCTGCTTTTCAAACTAGTGATTTTTAAAAATTTTAATAGAAAAATACATATACAAATAAATACGGCTACGATTTTTAAGGGTGACTTCAAAATAAACAATTTATTTTCCTAATCCAGGCGACTGTGATACTAAACGAACATATACATTACTTTTAATCTCTAGGAATGAAGTTTAAATTTCATTAAAGAGCAAAACCAGCCAAGATCATCTCCTGGCAGATGCCCAGCACACACTTGCCTTGTCTCTGCCCTTACAGGCAAGAACAAGCATCTCCATTTGGCCTTCACCATCATGACTTTTACTGCTCCTCTGGAAACAGCACATATATTTTTTCAAGTATGTCTGACAAATTTTGAATTTACAAATTTAAAACTGCATGAGCTTCTGAAGGATGTCAAAGCACTGGGAACTGGTAAGACCGACCCCTAATTTGTCCCTGAACCTCTGGAAAGGGACCCACTGACCATGTGTTTTGCAAACTGCAAACTTAATTCACCCCAACAACAGAAGGCAAAAAGGAAAAAAAAATCCAAAGGAAAAAAAAAAGAGGCAATTCACAAAAACCTTAATATTAAATATATTCTTACACTTATATTGTGCTGGTTTTCCCAGAGGTCTGCAAACAAATTTATATAGAGAGATTATTTCATCCACCACTGAACTGCAGCCACTTCTCACAGAAATCTGTTTACCAGGGGTTAGCATCACAACTCGGCAAACTGGGCATGAAGAGCCTCGCGCCGCCCCGGGCCGGAGGAGCCTCTGGAGGCAGCGATGGCCGCGGGGCCGGAGCGCGAGCAGGTCCCGCATCCCTCCTCTCGCGGGAACGGGGGCCAAGCGGGTCCGTTTGCTGCACCCCGTCTCTGTCCACGTTCACGGCACACACGACCGGCCCTGCGTCCTGCGGGAGGGAATCCTGCCTCCTGGCAAGGCACGGAACGGAGGGAAACGAGAGACTCGGCCACCAGCCCTGAAACCCATCCGGAAAAAGCCCGAGCTTCCCCCCATGATCTGCAAAATCAATCGCGATCACTGCCCACGACGTGCCTAAGGACTGAACATAACTCTAGGGACGTCTTAAAGGTCTTAAACATCCCCAAAAAGCAACATTTTGGATATATGTGCGGAGTTTTCTAACTGCACCAGAGTGCTGAAGGGGTTGGACAGGAAGAGACACCACAGCGGGCAGCTAGCAGCGTCTCTAGGTCTTGACCTGCCTACAGGATGGCTGGGCAGCGATGCACTTGGGCCAACTACAGACACCGATCCTTGGAGCTGGCTGGTGAAGAGTGTCTGGATGGGAAACCTGGCCCTCAAGCCGTTCCCTTGGCCCTCAAGCCGTTCCCTCGGCCCTCAAGCCGTTCCCTCACGTTCCAGCCCAGGCTCCAGAAGACAGAGGAGACCAGGAGAGGAGGCCTAGATGGTCCCACATGCTGCAAATCTGCAGATCCGTCCCGGACGGGCTGGAAACACCTCTCTCAGCCCTGGGCAGAGGCCCCGCATCCCGAGTCTATGCGTGTTGGGAAGAGCAAGCTCCGAGGAGGCTCCGTTTGCTCTACAAGAGCCTCGTGGATG